TTGCAGATCTTAAAACTGGGTTGGTACCTACTGCAACAGCCAAATGGCATACCTACTTACTTAATCGGAAAATCGTCGTAACCCTACTTATAATGAGAATAATTCTTACAAACTACAATACACTAATATAGTAAATATATATATTTGTAGGTCATACTTACTCATTCGTTGGTGCGTTGTAGCACTCCTTTGGGTACCTATTTCTGATGGCCGCGTGTTCGATTCTCCCAACATACAAATACATTTTCATATTCATAGCATGATTGTAACAATAATATTTGTATTTTGGGAATATATTATCAATACATTTTACATAAAAAAGTACTTCTATCGGCTGTTTAATTAGGGGTACAACTGGTAGAAATAGGTAGATACTTTTTTGTACAAGTTCTGTTTAGTTTATGAATAGATGGCATTGTGTGGATAGTCCTGGGATATTACATTATTCGACGACATTTCAGACAGTTTAATGGCAAAGTAGAATTTAAAACAGTTGCTGTCTGTCCCTATGTATGCTTAAATCTTTAAAACAACGCAACGGATTTTGAAGCGTTTTTTAAAATATATAATGATTGAAGAGGAAGGTTTTTACATTACATTTTTTACAAACCGGGACGCTAGCTAGAAGTAGCTAGTTATTCAATAAATCAGTCAGTTTCTGTAGAAATTTAATTAATTGCATCTTTGTGACCACATATTACTTAATTGACGTCGTAAAAAAATTAAATGGACTTTTATTGTTTTTGCCGCAAGTAGGTGTAGGTTTGCTTATGAAATAAATGTCTCGGTGCTTTCCCTCAAAGCTTTCGACAATACCTCACAATGGCGGGTCGGTTTTTAATTTTCTCAGAAGCCCTACTAGAAGCCGTACAAAATGAAATCGATTATGTCGAGCTTTTCCGAAGTTTCCGCTGCCAACGTTTGAAATTTTTAATAGAGATATATTTTATTGGGTAGGTACACACTTTGACTGATATCTACCTACTGTAAATACACAGTACATACTATTTAAATAAATACTAGCTGTTATCGCAACTTCGTTTTTTTTTTTAATACTTAGCATAAGTTGTGATACAATACATTTTCAAGCTAAAATTCATTACAATCCGTTTAGCCGTTTAGTTACTTAAGAATTGTTAACATTAGTAGGTATGAAGTACACATTTAAATAAAACTATAAATATACCTTTATCACAGATAACATAATATTACATACAGATACCCCATCCCATACTAGAAAATGGTTCCTTCCTAACTCGGGCTATTCTTCGGGCTATTTTATTTCGCCACCGTAGCCGCTAGATGTCGCTAGATCTGAAGCAATTCGGATTACTAGTGGGTGCTTAGTAACAAAGCATGAAAATAGATGGCAGTCAATTCAGTCTACATGACATCTGTTTTGCAAAGATATGTATATAATAGATATGTAGGTAACTGTATCGTGTACCTCATTAGGGACGATTCAAGATTCAATGTAAATGTGTAGGTATAATATCGTTAGCCGACACTCTGCAGATATGGCTTATGTGCCAATGTATATACCTATTATGTTATGGTTTATTTTACATTCCATGCCTATTTTTTTGATATGTTGTAACGCGTCTGCGCTATACGTATAGCCCGATTTTGATACTTTTATACTCGTACGTATCAAAATCGGGCTATATGATTTTTTATTTCAATCGTTATGTGTAAGAGACCGGTTTTAGCTACAATTAATTTACTGGTATATACTTCATGTATTCTACGATGTACCCCTCTTTTCCCTAATGAGAATTCCGCTATATCTTATATATAAATTTTGTATCACAGTGTTAGTTGCCATATTTCTCCCACATTTTGATGAAATTTGATATGTATACTTGCCAGGTCTGAGGTAGGGTTGTTATCTATTTTTTATACCCCTAAGTCATAGGGGTGGCCTACCCCGAAAAAATATTTTTTTGTATTATGGACAATTTTTTATTTATTTATAATATTACATTGAAAATACATACACGCCTAAATTTTCACCCGTCTTTTACCAACCCCTATTTTTAATAGCGATATTCTTACAAATATTATAAATGCTAAAGTAACTCAGTCTGTCTGTTTGTCTAGCTTTCACGCCAAAACTACTGAACTGATTTAATTGAAATTTGGTAGACAGATAATGTAGACCCTGAGAAAGGCTACTTTTTAATGCGAAAAAGTATTGAAAGGGGAAATGAAAGGCTATATGAGGATATCGTAATTTTTAAAGTCAGATCTTGTAAGATTAAGTGAACAGGGTTGGTCTAGGTTTTTCATTATTAGAAATGTGTAACGGGGTAACACGTTATTTAGTGCGAAATTGTGTATATTACAATAAAATTTAACGAGAAAATATTATAATGATGTCACTGGGACACTCATTGCCTTACTACTATATCGTCCGTTAAACACGAGAGGCGCGCTCCTATTGGTTAATAGATGAGGTAGACGAGTCTCACGGCGCCGCAGCGTAAGTACTTACTATACATACATACGTAGTATACATATGGGTGTTACAAATGTTTTTATTACGAGTAATATTACTCTGTTATCTAAGCAAGTAATGTGTGCTTATTTTGAACTTGATAACATTCTGAATTACTCGTATATCTTTCAATATCTTTAGCGGTATAAACCAGGTTATGTACTACTACTAGTATTGTTAGTGAGGGATAAAGTTGATGAACAAAAATAAAACAATATTCGTATTAAAAATATATTCATCTAATATTTTTGGCATTATTTTTAAGTTTCTTCCAAATACAAGGGGTCTGACATGGGGTGTTATGTACCTACATTAAAGGATAATTTTTGAAATGTATGAAAGAAATGTATGTACCTACATTAAAATATAATTTTTGAAATGTATGAGATGTATGAAAGAAATGTATGTACCTACATAAAAAGTTCATTTTTGAAATGTATGAAATGTATGAAAGAAATGTACGTACCTACATTAGAAGATAATTTTTGACATGTATGAAATGTATGTACCTACATAAAAAGTTAATTTTTGAAATGTATGAAATGTATGAAAGAAATGTATGTACCTACATTAAAAGATAATTTTTGACATGTATGAAATGTATGAAAGAAATGTATGTACCTACATTAAAAGATAATTTTTGACATGTATGAAATGTATGTACCTACATAAAAAGTTCATTTTTGAAATGTATGAAATGTATGAAAGAAATGTATGTATGTACCTACATTAGAAGATAATTTTTGACATGTATGAAATGTATGTACCTACATTAAAAGATAATTTTTGACATGCATGAAATGTGTGTACCTACATTAAAAGATAATTTTTGACATGTATGAAATGTATGTACCTACATTAAAATATAATTTTTGAAATGTATGCACCGTACAATAACAATACACGTTAAACATCATACCACAGTCATACGCAAGTTAAAAACAAACTGCTATGATATATTAATGAGAAAGGAAAATCAACTTTATGGTATTCGAGTTAGGGTCGATTTCTCTCTTTTTTTTAAATACTATTTTAATCTTACCAGTTGCCAGTATTCGAAGACAGCTACGATTCGTACTCGATATTTTAAATTATTATGTAATCGATTATTCAGTACAAATGTAAATAACCAACGACACTAATAATGTACTACTATATTCCGTTCTTTGAAACGGAACACTGCTATAACACATAATAATGAAAATTTACTGTTCACAACGACTCATTAAAAGCATCATCGAATAATGCGCTGTAATAAAATCCTGTTATCGATTATTCAAAAAAATCGATAATACATGTATTTATTTTTAATATGACAACACTTCATACATAAGTATTATTGGAAATAGTATTACTTGCTTGTTCGGCTATTTTTAATTTACTTAAAAAAATTTATATGTTTAATTTACAATAATAATATATTAAGTGCTTATTATTGGAAAATATAAAAAAGACATTTAATTAGGCCGATACAAATGACGACAATGCCATCTATGAAAGCATTTTGAAAACATTGAGCCCCATATTAGCACTGATTAAAGTGTAATTAAGTACTGGAAAATAACAAAATGAGTAAATATATGAAAATTACTTTTCTAAACGCATTATTTCATTTTAACATGTATATATAACTTTTTAAAAATTGATTAAACATTTTTGAAAACACAGTTTTGTTTTTTAAAACGTTTGCAAAACTATGAAGAATTCCATCGATACCAATCACGCCATCTATATGCAACTTTTAGCAATAATAATGGCTACTTCCTCATTGAGTGCCACTGCCTTTATGATTGTCATCACAGACTACCCCAGTCACAGACATTTTTTTATTTCATGGATGCAAATGCCAGTTGTTCCCGCCTTCACTAACTATAGATTGTAGAGACAGATATGAACTGAGAATCAAAGTAATAGTCATCATTATCGACCACATAACGAAGGATCATAGTATAATTGCGGCATCTTTGTGCAAACATAGAAGCAATGTGGAAAAGTTGAAAATAACTTGGTATCCAATATTTCTTTTTTAGTAGTGGTATATTATTTACAATTAACCCAGTAGGTATATGCATAATAACATATTAAATGTCTGTAAGTATACATAAATATACAAAGAAAAATACGTTATCCTTATTTAGTAACCAAATGGGAAAATAAAATATTTTTTAAATTAGAACAGATTAACCGACTTAAATTCCTTTTTACTGCTCTATTTTAACATTATTTAATTTATTCATTACCAATCAAAAATTTGTGAACGAGAATTGAAATTGCAATAAGGTACTCGCATACTTAGGTATAGTTAAAATAGGTATTTATATCCTATTTAATTATTATCGATACTGTACAGAATACAGAACCTTTTATCCCATTATTAATGAATGTAAAAATTACATTTTCATCTTTTCATAAATAGTATACGCAGGATCGCGACCAAAACAATTTCTGAACACAGTATAATGCAATGGCAAACTCTTTAAAAATAGGCAAATACTGGCAACACCGCAAATTGTAATGTCAAATTTTTATTATCGCAAAAATTTCAGTCATTATTTTCGTATTTTATTACGTGATTACAAATTATTCTAAAAAAATAACAAAATTCATGCAAAAAATAATTAGGGTGTGTACGCCAATCGTCGATTACAGTTGCGGTGGCGACATTGAGTGTGATATCGGGCGAGACGGGCTGCATAAATGAATTATGTCGTTGAGGTCGAGAGCCCTGGCCCTGGTGGAGGTACTACTGAGGGTGCCACCGCTGTTTGTGGTGGATGAATTCCTGAAGATAAGCCTCGGGCTGCCGGTGTCCGGCGGCGAGGATATGTCAATACTAATCAACGTGACTATGGACCACGTCGATGCCTTCGACACGGACGCCCATTACTACGATGCGAATTTCTACAACGCGTTGTTGTTCACACTGCTGAAATTTATAGTATGCTGTTTAGGTAAGTTTGTTTTAGAAATTCGCCTTTTGTGTCGGCACGATAACCAAACGTTAAAGTCCACCATTCATTAAATGATAAGTACCTACCTAATCAGCGTTTCATAAACATAATCGTTGGTTGCTTGATCAATTTATGATGAATAATATTTTGTGAAATTTATAGATATGATGCATAATAATAATAATTTATTTGCATCTAATACTTATAATTTAAATTGTTCCCTGGTACCTAAACTAACTAGAAACTTGTATTTTAGGTATCAGTTCCCTCCTCTTACATTTATTATAAATGGTTACCTAAATTATACTGCATATAGCTTCATGCACTTTGTGTAATTTTTTACCTATGACACCATCTAATCTACTTAAACTATGTTTAAATTTGGAATATTGACCATAAATAATTTAATTATAACACCTAAGTGACCCACATTAACTTGAGTTCAGATTTACCAAATTACATGAATGAAGATTCTATTCTATTTTATAATTTTAAACAAGTGTATTTATAATTTTAAATCATATTCATTCATATAATTTGGGAAATCTGAACTCAACTTAATGTAGGTCATTAAGTTGAGTTCAGACTTCCCAAATTATAGGAATCAAGATGATTCAAGAAAATTCTATTCTATTTTATAATTTTAAACAAGTGTGATTGTTTAAAATTACAAAATAGAATAGAATTTTCTTGAATCATCTTCACTCAACTGACAATTCACTCAACAACAATGACATAAAAAATACGATCAACAATTTACATACATTACAAAGTGAGTCAATGTGGACCACAACTCAACATAATCCTGGAAACAACCTTTCCAGAGCTGATTTTATTTAAAAATGTAAATATTTTAGTATAGTATGCAGTATGATATTATGAAACGCCTTCATTAATTTCACAATGTCGTAATTTAGTATCTATCTGAGCATTATCTATCTCTATTTATATATCTGAAGGTTCAAGTTTATCCTTAAACACTAGTATTAGTATTTAGACTCATGAACTATTATTATCTATTCTTAATAGATCAAAAAGATTTGAAATTAATATATACAATGGTAAATGGGCAGGAAGAAATTAATGATTAATAATGTCGACTGTAATAATGTATTAACCCCACTTTTAGCTATGTACTGTTAGATTAATAATATGAGCTGAGTTTCTTGTCAGTTCTCTTCACCTTGAAATGATTCTGAACTGACCATAGATTTGATATATCAGAAGAGCCTGTAATAGACCTACATGAATATAGATATTTTCAAATTCAGTACAGAGATAGTCCAGACTCTAACAAAGTGCATAGGCTACTTTTAATTGAAAAAAAAGTTATAAGGGGTTGAAAGGGCAGATGAAAGTTAGTATCAAAGTATGTCAGTTTTAGAGCTAGAAACTTATGTTTTATATTTATTTAAAGTGTGAAATTTACATTTTAGGCTGTTTATATTTTATAAAAAATATGACATTCAAAGTTTATAAAATAAAATAGGTATGAAATTTTTATTGAAAATCATCATTTATGAAGCTAGAAGGATAAAAATTTTTTCTTTGCTTTTTTTAAGTTACATTATTATTTAATATTTTCCTTTATTTGGTCAAGGTCTATATAACACGCGGATGAAGTTGCGAGCATAGCAAGTATAAAATAATAAAAAAGAGAAGACATTTTTGTAGCATTATTAGTACTCAAATAGTATGTACAACTGAATAAGCACATTTGCCCAAAATATAAATCAACAAAATATATATTTAGATTTTTTATTGATTAAATTGAAGATATCTTGCCATATATGATATGTAGAAATACTGAATTGACATAACTTTATTAAATTGGTCATAAATACTTTATTAGGTGGTGTAATTATAGATAATGATCCTGAATATCACTATCAAATAGTGATATCTGTAATCTAGGAATCATTACAATATCAATTTCGACTACTAACTGATCAAGGTTTTAAATTTTGACTGTATCTGTTATATTATATTCGATGATAATTTTTTTTGTTTAATTGTTAACTTAATTTGTTTGTTTGAACTGGTGATAATTATACTATTCCTTGTTTAACATAGATTTACATGCATAATACATGTGCTGGATAGTGTCTGTGCCAAATCACCATGTATACTCTGTTAGGTTTGAAAAAAGGCTAACAGAGTTTAGCTAACAATGGATAAATAAGCTTAATTGTTGTAGACAATTAAACTTTTTATGCATTTAGTGAAGTGCAAGTGAAGTGCAGTCAATCGGCTAAGAATTTCTTTATTCATTTGGTTTTATTTAGCAATGGTTAGATACATTTTTTTAAATACTAAAATGTGTTTGTACCAACTCCGTATAGAAGAGAGAAAGTGATAGTATTGTTCAATAATTTTGCTGCACTCTTAAGAAAATTTGTTTCATTTTTCTATTTATGTTTACTTGTTGGTACCACATAAATTTTATAATAATCTCTCTCTCACTCATTATTAATTTAACAAATGTGTGTGTTGTTTATAATGAGTTAATAATACATTCATTATAACAACAAAATATTATTATGTAAGTATTACCATCTAATAGAAACTCATCAACTCACTCATAGGGTGTTATTTGTGTAACTGCTAGTTATGTGAGAATTGAGAATTTATACATGTAAACTTAATCTGTTAATTCAGGAACAGCATATTATATACTAGTTATAAATACTGCGTCACTGTCCGCGTGAATTCGTGTATACAATATTAGCTCACTTAGTGTGACGTAAATAAATAAATAAATATATCTCTATATAAGTTTGTCCTTCAAAATCCATCTTCCCATGAAAATTCTATAATATATATTCAGCATTTAGTTGCAACAAACAGACACACATTTAAATTTATTATACTAGCCGAAGCCCATTATTTTGTCTGCTTAGAATTAGTACTTCATGTAGGTGAGGCTAATTAAGATTGTTTTGAATTTTATATCCCTCAATTGAGAAAGAATTAATTCCTCATATAAACTTACATCCCAAATTGCAATGATTGAACTAGATCTTGATGATCATACAAACTAGTTTCATGTATTTTATTCAGCTGATTAAACATAACGGTAGTATGTTTATATTTGTACATAATATGTTGACAGACACATTTTCACACTTATCAAACGACCTTACTTTGACGGCCTTGGTGGTCTAGCGGTGGTCACACCGCTTTTCTTCCGATGGTAGCGGATTCGATTCCTTACACAGTACAAACATTTGTTTGTTTGTATTGGTGTGGGTGTATATAACGTATGTATTTATTAAAAAAAAATCAGTTTGTAACAGTTGTCTAATATATAACACAGCTTATATTAGCTTGGGACTAGATGGTGCTGTGTAAATTGTCTTAGGTTATTAAAATTATGTCCACATATCACCTGATAAGCTGGTGACTACTGAGCACGGGCTATGCTTTATTATTATTAGTTCCTATAGATAAATAAAACATTCAGAGGGTAATATATCCTTTCACGACATTACTAAGTCCACATACAGTCTCTGTTTTAATACAATAAAATATCGTTGTGTCTATGCCACTTTGCACAGCTCACTGAAGGCGAAATCCGAATGGATTAACCTTGTAGTGCAGTGGATACGTAAACATAAACGCGGGTTCGACGGCCGTTCTAATAATAATTGTACTTGTAATATCTTAAATAAATAAAGCCGACAGCTATGTAATATTTTAATGGGTGATAATTGAATGGTGTACCTGCGCTAACGGTATACGATGACAAGGCATCAGTGGAGGATGAAAGAATAAGTAAAAAATGGGGTTAGTTCGTACATCGTGGCAAAAATAAGCATTTTATTTATTTAACCGCCCGCGGCTTCGCCCGCCTGGTCATAGGATTTATAGGTTATCGCGCATTTAAAGATCCGTGTTCAGTAGTGAGACGTTATATATCCTAAACTCTCCTCTTGAGTCACTCTACCTATTCTGTCCATTAAATAAAAACGAACCAAAATCCGCGTAGTTTTTTAAGATCAAAACATACATACGTTTATTACAAATGTAGAGGATATTTTAACTGGAAATTGAAGCCGTTTAAGTGGTATTGGCAGATCAGTTGGGATCATCGGTATTCTTGGTATATGAGCTAGTTACCCAGCTGTCGTGCCGGTTATAATGGTGGCTACAATTAAATTGTTTTTCAATTCCTTAGTAGAGCGACCTATTTGATACATTATTAACGTATTTTTTAAATGTATTTTAATGGAATAGTGAATGAATATGATATCTCAATTTTGATACATCTGTTTTCATGTATCTGTTTCTCTTGTATGTATCTTCATCTGTCTTAATTTCTAGTTCTGCTAATATGCTGTAGTTCTAATAACTGAACTATTTGACGACCTCGGTGATCTAGCGGTTTAGCACTCCGCTTTACGTCAGATGGTCGCGGGTTCGATTCCTCGCACGGTACAAACATTTGTATTCGTGAGTATGATTGTTTGTATCTGTCTTTTATTACGAAAAAAATCTATATACTTGTAACAGTTATCTAGTACCCATAACACAAGATTTAGCTAGCTTAACTTGGGTCTAGATGGCGCTGTGTGAATTGTCCTGAGATGATTATTATTTAAGTTGTTGTAAAACTTAATTCTCGATACATACAAACTTTAACTGTTTAACTAAGGTTTCTACTAAACTATCACTTCCTCGCACTTGTCGCCTAGTCGGTCTGTTGGGTAAGCAGCGCTGATGAAATCAATATTAAGCAACGCTTCGACAAGTGTCTAATAGTACGCAGGAGCTACGACCACGAGGGAAAGGGATTGTTAGTAATGTGACCCAATAACGTCATTACTAGCAATGCACCATGTCAGGTTGACATTCATGCGGTTCCCTTGGAAACCATCGTGGTAAATTGCCACTTGCCAAGATGGGCTAACTGACCTGACTTCATGCTTTGTCATCCTACACTGGTGACTCTACAGCGTATACTGTTAGCGCAGGCAGGTGCACAATTCATTATCCACACATTAGCAGCAACAGTTGTTACATACTATTACAATGAATTAAGGCCTCATGCAGCACATCCTGTAATTTCACTACATCTCGCCCTACAAAGGAAGTTTTGGTGGGTGGACTTTGTAAAAAGTCTGCCTCAAGGTTACCAACTCTCGATAGTTTGTTAGTATTGTAACTCTGCTTTTACTAAAGAAATACTCATTCGGTTTCTTTCCTTGCTCCATACGCGCTCCATCATGATGAAGACGTGCTTGCATGAAGCATTACAGGCAGGAATGGAAAAAACAAACTTGAAATTTGTCATTTCATTTATTTTTATTGAGTTCCCTGAGATATAGAGATAAGATCCCGTGATTTTTCCTAATTATACGTATAAATAATGACCGCGTCTCTAAAACAGTATAATATAGCTTTATTCTTATACAAACATACATTTATTATGTTTTTGGTTTATTTATTTTTCTCGTTACGATGCTCCGTCGGGTAGAAGCCTTCTCTATCCATGGCAGTAAAGAGCCAATCATTTCCTGCATTATTCTTTTTATCATCAGCCTATTATTTTTTTTCTATCGTCCTACTCTTCTCTTGCCTGTAAAAACTTATTGGACTGTAAGTATGTCGCGATTGAATTTGATTTTTTATTTGTATAACCAAGTTTAATTTTGGAGAGTTCGCATAGGCGACCTTCCCTTGTAAATATTTGTCAAGTAGCGGTTCACGGTCGGTCTAACAAATCTTGACATTGAGTTGAGTTTATTCATTAACTAGTTCCCCTTGTGTTTGGCAAATTGACGTTAAGATTTTGGTATCTACGTAAGACATACGTGTAAAATTTACCGATACGCTCACTCGTGTACAATATGTTTGCTTTTATTGTTCAAGTAGTGGGTGTCCCCACTACTTGAACATCTTCGTGCTTCTATACATATATAGATGCCATCTATTGATGATAATCAAAGGACAAAAATAAATTAATATAACAACCCCGTCTGTTATTTTATTTCTAAATGAATTAATTTAATAGTAAGTGGTAAAGTAGATATATATCTACGTTGAAATAATTCCCTTCTTTGGGGACATTCTTCCCTGCTTACGTTGCGGTAGATGTTGTTGCAATATGAACAAAGTATTACACGTTTTAAATAATACTGAATTAAAAAAAAAAGAATACCATTTTGTAAAATGAATTTATAAAATTTTGAGTGGTATTCCCAAAATTTGTAATTTTACTGGCAAATGCGGTATATTATTGTGCAAATTATTCTATGAAACGTTCATCGTAATTTTTTCAACAGTGATTCCGTCGTATTTCGAGCGTGTATTTGCGTGAAACCTTAGCACACAAATGGATAGTTTTCTCGTTACTTTTATCATTGTTTGTAAAGTTAGTCGTCTATTTATTATTTGTATTATCTATATTAGAGCGGATTACTTTTTTAATAACTCTTATCGTCGAGGTCATAGCTGAAATTCAGTGTTTTGCTCCTTAAGCAAATTACTATTGCTACTTTGTATTGCTGTTACACGCTACTGTATCACATTGATTGAACACTTCAATTTAGAATAATAGGTATATATTGCTTGTAATTGCACTTCGTACGTATATTACAAACATGGCAAATAAATTTTCCACGATATGTGTACGTATTTTTTAATAAAGATGGATGATAATAGAAGGGTACACCCATCAGCGCTAACGGTTTTCGCTAGCTGAGCACCAGTGGAAGATGATAAGATGAACATGAGGTCAGGTCTGTTAGCCCATCGTGAGAACACGCCATTTATTATGATGGTTTTCAGGGGGAACCGCATAGTAGTCAAATTGACATGGTACATTGCTACCAATATAGTCAACAGTCACAGCATTACTAACAATCCCGTTCTCCACTATGCTATTGCGGTATATATACACTGGCGGTCTGGTGGAGAAGGGTAATGGGATGAGAACAAAATCAGATCAGTTAGGCCAGACAAAAAATGACAAATTACCATTCTGTTATTCATTTTTTTAGTCTTACATTGGTGTAATAATGACATCTGTGTTGGGCATATTTTATATCGTTTATACATATTTTAAACTAGTTGTGCCGGCGACTTCGTTCGCGTGGTTATCAAAAACACTTCATACATATTTTTTGGGTAACTTGAACCGTTTTCGCAGCGCACCCAACGGAAGCTGTCAAATATGAATATTTTACCCCGTTTTTGCAACATATTTCACTGATGCTTCGCTTCTATTGGTCTTAGCATAATGATTATAACTTCAAGTCTTCCTTGACAAATGAACTATCCAATACAAAAAGAATTTTTCAATTCGAACCAGTAGTTCTTGATTAGGGCGTTCAGACAAGCAAACAAACTCTTCAGCTTTATAATATTAATTATAGATGAAAACATCCGCCGCGTTGGTCAGCATGTTTGCAATAATCTCAAAAACTACTGCACGGATTTTCATGCGGTTATCATCCGTGCACAGAGTGATTTCTGATGTTTATATTGTATATAATTCATTGAGGTTTTGTCTAAATTGAAATAACCCTTGCGAATACGAAGCGGGTCAGTAGTTGATATAAACACACCTATAACTAAAATGAAACTCAAATAAAGTGATGATAGTTTTCACTATTTAATGTAGTTCATCCTAGAATTAATTATCTTATGATTTAAATACAATAGTAGCAAACACTAGTCACACCATATATTAAAGTGCGATGAACGGAACGCGTTCTAAGGTTAAAATCAGAAGTATTGATATATGTAAATAGATACATGCAGTACTTTGTTTGTCAACTATTGCCTCAAAACTGGTCTCTGTAGCGCCTAATTTTTTTTTATGACAATTCACACAGCCCCGCTTGATACAAATACATAAATATATATTTTTTCGTAAATACATACATAGAAAACACCCAGACCAATACAAAAACTCATACTCATGAATACAAAATGTTTGCTATGCCAGGAGTCGAACCTGCGACCATCGGAAGTAAGGCTGTTAAGTGTGCTAAACCGATAAACCACCGAGGCCGTCAACTTTAACTATCATCCAAAAATTAAGCTTTTACTTCATACTTTATTTCACTTGTAACATTAAAAATAAACATTTACAAAAAATTACAACAAGCATGGGATTATCTCTGAAAGAGATCTCTTCCATCCGACCTAATGCTCTGACAGAGGAGGTAGTTAGCGAGAAACGATAGTGCTCGAGTTTGAGACATTATTATACAATATTCTAATGTAGTATACAGAAACATTAAACAACAAAAAACTACACACTATTTTATATTAAATTATATTAATTATGTATCATTTGACGGCTTCACTGGTTTAGTGGTTTAGCAGACTGCTTTATTTCCAATGACGGCGGGTTCAATGCCTCGCACAGTACTAACAAACAAATACTATCAATCTTACTATATATACATGTATATTTGTATTCATGGCTGTGATTGTTTGTATTTGTCTGAATGTTTTCTATGTATATTATGTGTGTATTTACAAAAAATATTATTTATCTATCAGTTGTCTAATACAAGATACAAGCTCTGCTTAGCTTGGCTCTAAACGGCGTTGTGTGAATTGTCCAGGGATAATATAGTTATTATTATCACAGTTGAAAAGAGTTAGAGATTTCTGGTGAATTCTTCTCGGTTTTAACTACATTTAGAACTACAGTAGATTTGACTTATACCAACTGTTTCTAATAAGTGTATTAGAAACAGTTGGGGTACATCTTGTGTAACTATTCTTGAGGATTTAGTTGCTATTCTTCCGTACCCTGTGATTTCAATGTTTAAATAAATGTTAGTTTAAATAAATAAATACACAGTAACAAGTAAGAGGCATGCGATAATCAAGATAGAAATCGTTACACATTCATTCTTATTGTAATCAATTACATAATATTGTCAGCAATATATAACAGTCTAGATTTCAAAGCCGCCCCCTGCTGACATATTGTAATTTTTATTCTGCTGTTAAATTTAGTTTTTTTCTTATTTTCCAGGCTGTATGTCAGCGCTGTGCATATTCGTATTGTACACGAAGCACCTGATCATCGTGTACCTCTACCTCATGTCAGTCGGGATTGTCTTCGTCTCCTACTGGACTAACGTTTCCGCCATCAAGCAAATCCAAGCACTGACATTAGCTACGTCAGCCGCACAGCCCGGCACCAGCATTTTAGAAGACATACTCAACTTAAACATGAAGAATTTACTTGATCTCGATGGACCCGGCGTGTTAGTCATACAAAATTTCGCCATACAATTCACTTTAGCCGTCCTCTTCAGAAATGTCCACCTAGGACCTCGACAAGCCACTATACAAAAGCTGCTCCCGATTAGCTTTATGGCCCCGTCCTTTTTAGCAATGTTGCCAGTTCCACCAAATTTACTCCACCATTCCCCAGTGTTCTCGGCATTGTTGCCGCTCTTTCTCGTCAAATATGTTCTCTGGTCATCGCTGTATAACGTTATCCAAGTCATATATTCTGGATACCAACACGGACGCCTTTTCGTCAGCAACTATGGTTTATCAGCATTGGTCGAAATGGAATGGATGCGACTAAACGTACCGTGTGTTTTGAGAGTGTTCTGGGTGATGCGAGTGGCTGAACACGCCATACTTTTACTTATGGACAATTATGATGACGATGCCGAAGAAGGCCTTAAAGTATCTACCCTATTAGCGGTCCAGTCACTTGCTTCAATGGCTAAATCACTTCTAGTCACGGGCTGCGAAACTATAACGGCTGTTCTGGGTATGACTTCAGTGATCTCGTTCTTCTGTCACTACATTGGCAACTTCTTCCAATGGATTCTACTTACGGACGAGGAAGAGGACAAAAGTATTGGAACTGTATCAGCAATCCTCTTTTATATCCTAGCATTGCAGACGGGATTGACGTCGCTAAACCCAGAAAAGAGATTTGTCCGCTTATGCAGAAATTTCTGCCTGTTGTTCACAGCTCTTTTACACTTCCTGCACAACATTGTGAATCCAATGCTTATGTCGCTAAGCGCGTCTCACAATCCAAGCACTCATAGACACGTTAGAGCTTTGGGGGTATGCGCCTTTCTCATTATTTTCCCCATATCATTACTAGTTTATCTATGGTCACAACACACTATCTCCACGTGGTTACTCGCTGTTAGCGCTTTTAGTATAGAAGTGATAGTTAAAGTGATAGTGAGTTTGATGATATACTCACTTTTCCTGATCGATGCGTACAGGAGTACGTTTTGGGAGCAGCTTGATGATTATGTGTACTACATCCGCGCGTTCGGGAACACGATCGAATTCTGTTTCGGCATTTTCCTGTTCTTCAACGGCGCTTGGATACTGCTATTCGAATCAGGGGGTGCTATTCGTGCAGTGATGATGTGCATACACGCGTATTTCAACATTTGGTGTGAAGCGAGAGCGGGCTGGTCCGTTTTCATGAAACGGAGGACTGCAGTCAATAAAATTAATTCGTTGAGAGAAGCATCCGTTGATCAACTCAGCATGCTGGACGACGTCTGCGCTATATGCTACCAAGAGATGCATTCAGCGAAAATAACCAGATGCAACCATTATTTCCATGGTGTGTGTTTGAGGAAGTGGTTATACGTACAGGACAGGTGTCCACTGTGCCACGATATATTGTACAAGATAGACAGTGACCCGAATAAAGATAATTCAGATGCAGGGAATGAGGAAAACAGTAATAATCAGAACCTAATCCTAGAGGAAGAGCCGGATCTCTTACTGGGAGAAGGTGTGAGATGACTGCTCGACGAGGACGTGTACCACTTAGATTAAATACGATTTAAATTCACTAATTTGAGTGGTAATTTAATTATGTATAGTAAGTTATTGTTTTTTTTTATACATAAATCAGGTAAAACTGTGATTTGAAGTGGTGAGTTGATTTTGTCTCGTGCTGGATGAGTATTTGTTTTTGCTGTGTGTCTCATGTTGTTAAGCTTAGTGGTTACGCGCTTGTGAACACATTACTGTACAATGTTACAAGATTTCGACTAAAATTTTCAAGTGCTAACAAAATGTGGTTCGAACTGTTTTTGAAAATTATATTATTAGACGAATTCGAAGCTATTTGTAAATATTAAGGTTGTTTAGAAATAGCTTTTAATAATTGACTGTAACTTAATAAAAAAATATATATGTTATATAAAAATAGTAATTTTTCTCATATGAAAAAAAAAATGTGTAAATAAACTATTATTTTAGCAGTCATATTCTTTTCATTGAGGCGGGTTCAGACGTGGAGAATTAAAATACAATTATTTATTTTCAATAATATATTGTATATAAAATTTGACAGTTTTAACAGTAAAACAAGTATAAAATAGTCAAAATCTGGTCAATGTTTTTTTTACCGGATGATTTTTTTTTGCCGTGCGTCAAAATAGATACATAAGATATAACTAAAGATTATAACAAACACTAAACGATTTGACTGATATTGAAATTTAAAAAATGACAAATAATATTTTATATATTCAGTATAAGCTTGTCATTACTTAAAAAAATCTTATTTTCCAGACAACCAAAGAACAGTACAGTAATATTTACTATTTAAAAAAACTTTGTTAGTATATATAGCACGACGTACATAAAAAACTTGGGAGTGTGGAAGTTTGTAGTATATTTTCATAGAAAATTGCCATCATCTCGTTATGCCATGCATCTATTTTGTATATGATATATTATTTTTGATAGTATTACTATTTCCGAACGGTAATTAAATTCATCCGGTATATTAGCAACAATATTAAAATATTTTTCACAATAAAATAAAAAAAGAATTGTATTGTTTTTGCACGTAATTAATTATGATTTAATACTTCACCCATTTTTACACGAAAAGTATTTTTTTATACTTAAAAATAGTATAACATAGAAATAAGTTGCTTTCAATATTTTGTTTCAATAACATTTGCACAGACAATTCGTTTCAGTTTGGAATCAAAAATTTTAGGAGTCGGAATCATGTCCTATTTCATTTGACGTCCAAAAAATTGCATATTGTAAACAATATAGCACCATATGTATTATCTTAGCGTTAAGCAGTTGGGCAGGACCCTATTGACTTTAATAAATTTATTATATAAAAATAAATACAAAATGAACTTCAATTAATTACCCTAAAATTTCCATTTTTGTCGGCGGCAGAATCATCTCCGCAGCCAATGAGGTGATGCAGTATTTATGTGAAGATAGATTAATATAGTCATAGACCAATATATCTTACTGGGCCTCTCCATAAATTACCTCGCATACATCATTGTCATTTTTGCGGGACCTCTTCACCTTTCTCCCTAGTGTGACGTCACAGATTTTGCAATTATATAGATATTATTTACATTAAATAAAGAATATATAATAAAAAAATTTAATAACTCCCGAGACAAAAAATATTCTAAATCAATTAAATAAAAATATCTTTATTCATATAGGTCTCTTGAAGACTCTATGTATGACGGTAACCATTTACCATAAGATGGGCCGTATGCTTGTTGCCACCATAATAGTATAAAAAAATGTCAATTCGGAGTGATTTCGTGCTAAGGATAATTGACAAGAAACTCCGCTCTTTTCCAATGAACTTGTACAACACTGTATTATTTGTTTTTGAAGAATTAATTTTTTCTTTCTCATTTTCATGATTGCAAAAATACACATTCATTTTTAATAAATAAAAATAATATTGTGTCTTATAATAAATAAATTGTATCTTAGAACCATCTATGATGTAAACTTAAAAACATAAAAGGGTCTATTAATTTAGGAGCTATGACGTCATAGACAAGTCAAACTTACATCCTTTTTTTCAGCAGTTAATAAAGGGTGTGACCACGGGAGAAGCTAGTGTGATATTAGTTGAATATGAGATCCTTATAATTTGATAGTAAGTAATAGTTGGAGACTCTGCAGTTGGTTGAGGTGCGGACGACGGTGGTGCGGTCCGCACGTTCGAAGTTCGCCTTCACGATCTCATAGTATCGGCCATCACTGCAACAATACGTTTCATTCAGCCATAAAAAATCGAACGACATCTTTACTTAGTATAAAATAAGGTCGCATGTTCTGTCCTTGCCGCTTAGGTTTTTAAACTACGCATTAGACTTTAATACAGTGTTTAGCAATATATCGATTGATTCAAGAGGAAGGCTTGTATGTATAATACATGTACACCTGTGCGAAACCGCCCCCGCCACTTCACCCCCCCCCCCCCCTCCGCTTCCTCACCTAGGGGGGCTAGCATATAATATATAAATCTTAATATTACAAAAGCGAATATTTGAGACTATAAGTCCATAGTCACAAACTTTCGCTTTGTTTGTTACTCTTTTACGCAAAAACTACGAAACGTATTTTGGTGAAAATAAAAAAAGATTATGGAAATTGGTCGATATATCGATATAATAATAAATGTCAAGTAAGAATAATGCAGACAAAGTTGCGCCAGTCATATAATGGGTAATAAATTACTTTAAATACTTAATACATTTTTACATACCTACATAATGTACGTAGAAAACACCTAGACTACCAAATAATCATAGTCTTACATAAAAATGTTTGAATAGAACCCGCGACAAACGCAAGTAGGGCGTGCTAAACCGCTAGACCATCGAGACCCTCAAATATGATACCAAATTAATTGCGTAAAAATTAAGTTACCAATTCCACTCACCTGAGAACAAGGCACTTGAGTTTGAGACACTTGACACGTAGTATATCTATTGCCTTCTGACTCTTGTCGCTGAAACGAAGGTTCTCGGGGTCCCAGCGGAGCTCCAATCGCTCCAGGTTGAGGCAGTGGGTTGCTATGCCGTCCATCAACTAGTAATAAAAAAAAAACAATTATAAAAACGTATTAAAAGATATTTTCTAAGTAAGTTAGCATGTTTTAACCATTACATTAATTTAATTAATTACCATTTTATTAATTTTAAAAAAGACAAATAAGTATTTGTACAAATGTCGTCCTTTAAGGAATAATCTTACTAATAAGGGAAAGAACGTGAAACCAAAAGTTTATGAGTATTGATGTTTGTTACTAATGAACGGATTTTGATGAAACTCAGTAATATGTTTGTATGTATGTATTTACAGTACAATGTACATTATAATAAAATTCACAATAAACCTGACAACTAACATACTACAAACACTCACAAAATAAAATACTAGACATCATTGCCCTCTGAGTAAGTAATCACTATTAAAAAAATCAGACCATCAAGTATTACAAGTACGAATTAAAAATTTAAACGAATGGGGCAAAGGGGACTTAGTAATGTGGACTAATAACCTTATTGCTAGCAATGTACCATATCAGTTTGACCTTCACTTCTCTGGAAACTATCGTGATAAATTCATGGTGAATTTACCACGATGGGCTAACTGATCAGACCTCATGCTCATCACATCATTCTCCACTGGTGCTCGCCAGCGTAAACCGTTAGCGTAGGCGGGTGCACCATTCTATTATCATCCATAAGAATTGTAATGAAATTGTTCTCCTTAACTAAACGAAGAGCAATTGATGTTAGAGCCGTAGTAGTGTATTTTTGCATATTTAAAAACTGCAGGCGTTACCTGATCAACGTGAATGTTGACGCCGAGCCGCTCTTGTGTTCCCATAATGAGAATCCTGTAAACATTCGTAATACTTTTTATATAAAAAGTTACATAGCATACGCATGTTACAGATAACACTATACTATTTGAATAATGTTATATCTCAAAACAATTCATACAGTATCACCTAGTCCCAAGCTGAGCAGAGCTGGGTACTATATAACTAATACAGTTTTTTTTTGTACATACATACGCAATAATACGTATTGCGTATGTATGTATTAAACCGCCGAGGCCGTCAATAATGACTGAAAATTGTATGCTTTACTATTGTAATGCATACAATTTCGAAATATATTTTCGCGCTTCTAATTCAGCATTTTCGAGGTATTTTAAGCACTGTATTCTGCAAATAAATTATTTGATTTGATTTGATTTAAAAAACATCCATGACGACTCAGGACAGAAAGCTCTGGCAGAGATTGACCAGAAGGACCAACCCCAAAATAAGTGGGCCTAGTAAAACCAGATCCCATAGAATACGACTTTAACAACGTTCTAAACTTTTTTCAGTGCTTTTTACACATCATTTAAAGAAAATATTTAACAAGTTAATGTATAATAAATATATTATAATATAACAATAATCTAAAGATACTTTACACAGCGCCATCTAGACCCAAGATAAGCTAGCTAAAGCTTGTATTATGCGTACTAAACAACTGATACAATTACACACATATTATAGATAGAAAACAACCAGACCGATACAAACAATCACACTTATGAATACAAATACTACTGTGCGAGGAATCGAACCCGCGACCATCGGAAGTAAGGCGAAGTGCTAAATCGCTAGATCATGTTTCACGACATATTACAAAATAAAACATAACTAACTTGGCATTGGTAAGCAGTTGCAGTACACTCTGCCAGAGTTGGTCAGTGATGTGGGGCATCCCGCTGAGGACCAGCCCCCACAGCTGGCTGCCGTGCCGCGACAGGAACCGGTGCAGAGCCTCGTCCGACAGGTTGTCTGATGAGTCCACGTCCAGCGCCACCAGGTTCCTGAAGATATTGCAGTGTTATCACCTCATCAGTGTACCGTTATATATGATGTTATGAGGTATTGCTTTATTTGTAATATTTGTGTCAATACTCGGCACCCTTCCATTTGTGTCTCCACAAACTAAAATAGACTTTAGCTTTATAACGTTTGTTTGTATTATTTAATAAACCTCATCGAAATAGAACTTCATTACCTACAAAAATTCACGGAATACATATAAATAATAGTTTTTAATATTATTAATTGCCTGATCGAAACTGAATATCCGGATGTGTTGCATCCACAACAAAATAATAATATTGAGATATTTGATAGTAAAGATAGAATACCTAATATTAATTACATAGTAAAATTTATTGTAATAATTAAAAAAAATAGTTTTTATTATATATATAATAAAAACTATACATTAGTTTTGAAATCGTCTAGGAAATGAAAAAAAAATCTGAGGTTCAGAATCTGTGCAACTTGCCGATTATGTGACAGCTTTTTTGTCACTTTCGTGTTTGATAACAACATATGTTATATGTGTTTATAATTATAATTATTATTACAATATATGTTTCTGGAAGCTCGTAAATATTTGTATCGTTATAATTGTATTATATTAAATATTTATTTATTAAATATTCTATAGTATGTGTTTTGAAAGTGTAAATAAATGATTTGTCTATTTTTACATCTCTTTGTTATGTCCCTTTTGACTTCCTTGTTCCCAATTTATTTTTTAATTTCGGAATATACATATACACAAATATTCCTGTTTTTTAATAAAATAGTTGTATAGTGTAATCTTCAGTAACTATAGTTTATTTCCAATTCCATGGCCACTAACCTGGCAGTTCCAGATTCCATCCAAGCCTTCAGCACCGAGTCGTTGAAGCCGTTGATCTGGCCGGCACACAGGAACCTCAAGTTGGGGATCCTGGTGAGCATGTCGATGAGACACTCGGTGGACAGGTCGGTTGCCGTCACGTCCAACTCCTGGATCGAGGACTTCTCCCATTCCACTTGCATCACATACTCTGATTGGAGATCTGGAAATTATAAATATATCTTCATTACATAATATAAAACAAAGTCGCTGTCGCTGTCTGTCCCTATGTATGCTTAAATCTTTAAAACTACGAAACTAATTTTGAAGAAGTTTTTTTAATAGATAAAGTGATTCAAGAGGAAGGTTTATATGTATAATACGGATTTTGATATATAAAATCTCGCGTCACAGTTTTGTGTTTAATAGATATTTTGTGATTCAAGAGAATAGAAACTAATTTTTATACCCCTTAGGTTAAGGTTTTTTTTCATTTTTTCGACAATCCTTTTTACTTTTAAATTTTTATTATGTGGCATTAAAAATACATACAACCCTAAATTTCCACCCTTCTACCACCAACCCCCATTTTTTTATAGCATAATTAATTTATATGGCAAAACAATGTTTGCAAAGGACAGCTAATATGTATATAATATATCATCACCTTCACAACTGTTTCACAATTTGTTAACATTGTTTCAATCACCGGAGAGACAATCAGAAATAGAAAATGGACACGAAAGTAAGTTTGGGTGTCGACTAGATTTGAACTAATAATAAGTAAAATTTTTCTTGAAAGAACGATAGAAAATAAGAACAAAGAAAAATTAAGTTAGGCACTTTAGCCATTATAGTTGTTATATACCTATTATTTATTTAAAAATTAACAGTTTCTTAATTAATACTATCTTATTAATTAATTATACTCCAGATTTCTAAAACATATTCATTACGTAAGTGGGTACGTAATTCATAAATTATTTACTTAAATTTATATATATATAGGACAGTGGAAAAAAATAGACAAATAATTTAGTTTAGGCACATACAACATAATATTTGATCATGGAATGAACGTCCTGTCGAGGTTTTCCCACGAGACTACAGCATGGGGTTTTTCAAGAAAGGTATAATAAGGTTTCTTAAGGATCGGTAACGCGTACCGGATACCCCTGGTGTTTCAGGCGTTCATAGGCTACGGTAGCCCATCAGATGGGCCGTATGCTTGATTGCCACCATCGTAGTATAAAAAAAAACATGGTATAGGCAATAACTCTTAGAACATATTACGTTATCTGTGTTTGGAACTGACGTTGCAAAGTAAACATCTGCCGATTATATTATGTCACTGTCATTTTGTAAAACTATAATTTGATTTAGTAAACATATTTTATTAAGATTCCACTGCTTTTCACTTTAATAATAACAAAATTAATGCAACTTACTGCACCCGTTCATCAGCAGACAGGTGAGCCTCCGCGACCGCTGGAACAGAGTCTTCATTGTGGAGCCTGTCACTTTGTTACAGAAGTTCACCGCCAAGCACTCCAACTGGAAGAAAAGCTTTCGTTAAAAAGTAACGGAGTCTTGTAATAGATTTTTTTTAATATTTTCCCGCTCAAAATAATGTGCCACAGATTCACAATATTGCACGGCGCACAGCCGCAGTACGATGCCGAGCTGGTTATAGCTGTACGCGATGTTTTTTTTACTATACTTATTGTACGTTACGTATAATACCTTAATTATACACTAATATTTATACTATTTATTCTTGTAATTTATTGTTTCCAGGTTTCAAACTTTAAAAATATTGCTATTTCCATATTTAGTACATTTTCATAATAAAATCCGTTTTCCGTTATAACATGTATCACAGACTGCGATGTTTCATCACCACACGGGCAGTGATCGGAGTCTATTATCTTAAATCTATGCAGGTACAATCTATTTCCTAAATGCGTAATTGTGTTGTCGAATTTTACTGCAGAAGCGTAACGTTCCTTGGCGGGGCCCCATATAAGATTTTCGTAAGGGCCCTTACGAAAACCGACCTTAAAATTTCTCACAAAAGAAAAAAAAGTGCATAAAATTATAAGTCATTAGTTAAAATTAAATATTTATTTAATTTTAACTTATGACTTTTAATTTTGGCGCCGGGGGCCCGTATAATTGGTACGGCAGATACGGCGGTAGCTCCCCAGATGCGATGTTAATACCACAGATAAGACAATATTACATAGTGGATTATGTTATCTGTGTTAATACTGAGTAGGTATGTGTATTTAACTCACCTGTATACAATTAGAACTAAAGGCGTCGATGTGTGAATCGTCCACAAAATTGATCCCGTACAAGTTGATGACGCGCAGGTTGGGCGTCGCCGACTTCAGTTTGTGTACGTTTATCACTTCGTATATTTCCTCTTCTTCCTCTTCTATTTTCTCATATGTACCTGAATACAAATAGAAACGAAAAAATAATAGAAATAGTCTTTATAATAAATAAATAAATAACCCTGGACAATTAACACTGCGTTAACTAGTCCCACGGTAAGCAGAGCTTCTAGTACCTAGTAATACCAGTTGTCTATGTCTAGTACCCATAACACATTATGGGTACTAGACATAGACAACTGGTATTAATACATAGATTTTTTGTAAATACATAAATAATATACATAGGATAATGCAATAGACGTAGACCAATGAAGATAATTTTCTTTGATAAAAACAAACACACAAACACAAACATCAATTTTACATTCCATAAAAAATTGAGAAAGATGTAAAATTCGAGTTATAGTCATAAATATCTATTATACATATACAAACACGTCTTTATATTATTAAAAAAATGAGAGAATTACAACAATCATGACTAATTTATTTTGTACTCAAATTATGTATTTATTTATATCAACTTAGTTTTATGGTATTTTATATTCACACAAAATACTTAAAAATGTAATTTTAAACAAAATTCATTCAAAAAAGCAACACGCAACTTTTTTTATCATTTTTCTTATAATGAGTCTGCGTTCCGAATGAGTGGTAGAATCAAAGAAATGTGACTACTCACAACTGCTCATATTTAGTTTATTGAAATAAACACTAATTCTATTTCTAATAACAATTACTCGCTAATAAGATTATACAAAGATATAATCTGTACTTAATTTAAAAAAAAACTCACCTATAAGATGCAAAATCTCAAGACCGTTGATGAAGTTGTAAATCTTCCTCATGAAGCCCTCCATGAAGATGACCTCCGAGAGGCAGATACACAAGTATCGAAGCTTAGTGGGGAACGCCTGCATTTCAGAGAAATCGTGAAGTTGCATAGCTGAAAAATTGTTTAATATACACTATTTATATTATTAAACAACTAGAGCAACCAGGTCAAACCGACCAATCAACCAAATTAAATCAAAAATATTTTTTCGTATAGGATATTTTAGCCTATGAACGTCAAAATTTACAGATTCAATTGAGAAGAAGTTGTAAGAAACTCAACTCAATTTATTTTTTGTTAAAAGTCAGTTTAGTTACATTGTGTACTTATGTAAGTGTCTAATATGTTTAACATTAAGTGAAAATCCCGTGGATGAACTACTATTCCCATGTCGAGAAAGTAACCTTTATTTACCATAAAATTATTCATGCGGTAGAATAAAAAAACTTGCCTATTCAAAAGTGCTTATATTAAGTTTATTTGAATAAAGATTATTTCTATTTCTATTTCATGTTAAAACCCGGTTAACAATATATGTAAATAATGAAAGATTGTATACATCATTTATAATACTAGCTGGGACCGTGGTTTCACTCGTATGAAATTTATAGCCTATTTGTTATTCTGATGTATACTATATTGCTTCAGTAGTTTTTGCGTAAAAGAGTTTTTTTGGGTTGTTTGGGCTACTGTCAGATGTTTGTAACACCTGTAGCACTGCGACCTACATAGATCTATTGTGCTCGCCCTTTTTCAAAGTTCGCTACCTAGACCCGTCAGGGAAAAGAATTGCAGGATATGGGCTACAATCACATAGGATGTGTAGTAGCGTTTCCTCTTCAGTTTGGCAGAATCTGCAGATATTTGTCGTGCATAGGCCTAGTTTTGCTATATGCTTGTTTAATTTTCAGTGTCCTGTGAGGGCCCTAGTCATCATGAAAGAGTAACAAACATCTATCCATACTCACAAACTTTCACGTTTATAATATTAGTAAGATATATAATAAACTTACCGGTACTGAAATCGAGGAGCATGTGCGTCAGGTTGGGACATTTCGCCGCCAACTCGTGCAGCACCGTGTGTGTGATCAACTCTATTGGGAGCTCGATGTATCGCAACGACGGACCGAACCGTATCGATATTAATGCCAACAGGGACTCGAGAGATCCTGAAATATATTATTATTTATTACACATGTACCTTTTATGAGGTTTTCTTTTATTATTTACTAGCAACTCGCCCTGGCTTCTCTCTCTCTCTCTCTCTCTCTTCTCTTCTTATGTAATGATAATGAAATGGTGCTGTCATTATTTTTTTATAAAAATTTATAACATGTTAGCATTTAGCACTTCTTTATATAAACCATAAGTGAACGAAATATACTCCTCCATCGCGCAATTTTCGTAAAAAGGGGTGCAAAGTTTTTGCATCTCTTATTAATATATAAATTATTATGTTTTTGTAAAATAATAATGTAGAACAAGTTCATACACTAATTATAGTTCGAAACAGCTAACACCATAAATTCGAGTAAATATTTTTATGTAACACAAATATTGAAATAGAATAATCTGATTTCATATTAAAAATTATTGATTCCCGGAGCGGAAATAATGCCCTGCCGTGCCGTAGATGTCAAACTAGTATAGGTAAAATTTATTTATTTATACTTAAGAGGCCTATTACAAAATGATGCCGCTCAACTTTAGGTTTAATCGCATGGATTTTTACGCACACACACAGCATATACATCACACAGACGCAAATAACCGTTTATATTAATCGGTTTAATTTAGTATAAATTAATTGAATCCTTGTAATATTTATATATATAATAATGTACATATGTTTCTACTTAACTAGTGATATATAACTACTTATTGGATTTTTTAAAATAAATCATTGTATTTATCTTAATTGTCAAAGTGCTAATAATGACCATATTTTTTTATTTTTATTCCTAGAGGGTTGATGTCAGGATGCTTGGTTTTTGTACATAATAAAAGCCAAAACCTTAAGTAATATGAGTAACAAATAGTTGGGATAATATAAGAAGATGAAATTACTATGACATAAATTTACAAATTAATTTTCTTACATATTAATACAATATAATTTATTATTAGAGTCGGATACATTATTGCCATATTCACTTGTTCTAAATATTATACTTAGCAAATAATTATTTTATTTATATATAATAGTTGTGTTTTCAATCTTTGTTTTGATTTAAATGTCCCATCCTTATATATATATTTTTATCGTGTATCACACATCGCGACTTCGTCAGCGTGGTATAATGAAATTGACCAAATAAAGGAAATATATTTAGATTATAACCTAAAAAAGTTTCTTTGTTTCACTTAAACAATGACGATACTTTTATACAACCTTTCATCTCCGCGCCTTTAACCTTTCGCACTATAAAGTAGTCTATGACCTTTCTCAGGGTATACTATCTGTGTATATGTATATCTATCTATATAGACTACTTTATAGACTACATGTGTATATATATGGTAGTGAATTTACAGGGTACAGGGTTGTAATAACACCTCGAGTTTTCAGGAATGGCAACGCATGAGGGAAACAATATGTATATGAACATGTTTGTAGGTAACTGCTCATGTATATAGGCGACGATTACCCATTCCATCAGGAGAGCCGTCATAATAATGTTTGCCATTTATATTAAAAAAAAAGCTTAAATCAGCAATTCATTGCTGTTCCTGTCATCATTGACACGCCGCATATATTCTGATATTGTTTCAATGCTTATGTCTCGTTCTTGGTTTATCAATTATTGATTTTTTTAAATAATTCTTTTTTGTTATCTATTAATATTTGTTATAACCTTGTTTATTAATCATATATTCTACGGTCAAATCCTATTTATAAATTATTACAAGACGCCTCATTGATTATATGTAATGAAATCACCATGAGCTATAGAGATTTTGGATAGAACCTTAAAAGACCTTCAGTCAAATACCTCTGCTCTCATTAACGGGATTACTTTTATACTTTTGCTCGGAGATCCATTCTGAAAGACTTCTGTGTCATTACCATCGTCTTTATGTACTTTAATTGAAAGTTTAAAACTACTGACAAATTTGAGAGCTCATTTTTATGGAAGCACAGATAGTTTTCCCAGACTAACTGCTCAAACTCTGTGTTTAAAGGAATTTCTCAAAAGCATGATCCAATCATGAAATTTAAGCCCGCCGAACATGTGTGTATGGCATCCCATTTTTTGTGTAAATATTTAATATATACAAAAATTGAAAGACAATGTAATTGTATTACCAAAAATTATAACCGGTACGTTAGCTGGGCAACAGCTTATATACCAAGAATACCGATGATTCCAACTGATCTGTTTTTTAATACCATTTTAACGGCTTCAATTTCCGGTTAAAATATCATCTACACATGTAATAGATCTATGTATGTTTTGATCTTAAAAAACTACGCAGATTTTGATTCGTTGTTATTTAATAGACAGAATAGATAGACTCAATTAGGAAGGTTTATATATAACGACCCAATATATACAAAGGATCTTTAAACGCGCGATAACCTATATATCACAATATTCATTTCGGGCGAAATTAAAACATTGTAAAGAATATAATAAAAACATTTATAATGTTAAAAAGTTGAGTTATTTAAAAACACGTACAATTATAATTATTTGACATATATTGTACAGTAATGAAAGTCATAAACAGTTTTGTATAACAGAATGGCTGCAATTTAGAAATATCTGTATTGTGTAAAATAAAATAAAGTAAATTGGATAAAGTATCTCTAAACATTAAGGAATATAATTTATATATAATTTGGTAATTTATTTACAATCCACATTGCATACTAGATGATATAACACAAGACAAATGTACGTAAAAATAATAATGGTATTTTTATAAACAATAACCCTATTTTAATTTAGAAAAAATCTACAAAATAAACATAAAAAAAATTGATTTACATTTTCTTAATATTTTTCTAATCAGATAAACGTTATTTTTAAAAATACTAAAACGTTCTCTTTTTTAATTTTAACAATTAATTGCCATTAGTGTGAAAAAAACGAAATACCATGTAGTTAAAGTGCTTTTCAACTGAAAACAGCAGATAGGTAAAGAATTTATTTGTATCATAACTGTACTTTTGTTTTGGCATGCTAAAATAAATATTATATATATATATATTTAACAACAACTTTAAATTAATATTCGTAGAAATAAGTATGTATTAGCAAAATTAATTAAATGTGTACTTAAATTATCAAAATTGTTTAGTCGCACTATACTAATGTTCACTGACAAATGTTTACGAATGTCTTATCGTAGCGGTGTCGTAAAAAATAGCATAGATCCTACCTTGACGAGCGCTAGCGCAGCACTGAGAATTTACTTTTGGCGCAACGGAATTTATACAACTTTAAATTATTATTATTGTTTATTTTTTTCTTAGAAACTTATATTTTTTTTTTCCTATTTCTAATTTACAAGTATATTAACTTTATTATTATGTTTTTTTTATGCAAAAATTTCGTTGTTTTTATGAGAAAATTAGAAATGATTATGGCAAAGTTTTGTTGAAATTTCGGGTTTCATTATGATCAATTTTTTAGATATTTAAGTTGAAAATGTGTTTTGTAAAAAAGGACGATGCTGTCTCAATTTATGAAGTAATTATCAAGTTTTAGTACAGATATCATATCAGTTTATGTTTGTTTATTAATGAACGACGACCCCAAACTTCTGTCTCTTAGCGTTTTTGAATAAACTATTTTAGAAATTAGGAAGACTAACAAAGAGAAAATTAACAATTCAAAGATGTAGTTTTTAAGATTAGATATCTATCTATATAATTCAGGAATAAAAATGTATATCCGACTCTTAATTTCTTAGAACCAGAACCCCAAAGACCCTGCTTTTAGGCCAAAAAATGTGAAAGGCCTCTTAATACATAGATTTCATAACTCATACATTTTAGATAAATTATTTACTATATTGGAATTTCATTTGTGTTATCAGTGGTCCCCAGACTAGGTGTTGGGGACTGGGAGCGCATAAGATGTAGGTACTACAAAACAAAGTCGCCGGCGCCGACGGCGTCGCAGATAGCTTATATCTTTTAAATTACACACCGGATTTCAATGCGAATTTCAGCAACAGATAGAGTTATTAAAGAGGAAGGTATGTATAATAAATGCTTGTTATAGTATAGAATAAATAGAACAAGCCGAGGAGGAATCGCTAGTGTATTACAAGGATAAAACTGAATTTATTTTTATTTAATCTAACTCACGAGAAATATACATCTACTACAATAATTAGTTTAATTAATTAGCACTGGATAGGTGACATTTTGTCTTAAATATTTTAAAACAGCTATTAGCGCTGTATAAATTGTGTAAATATTTTTATGAAAGTCACAAATATTGAAATAGAATAATCTGATTTCATATTAAAAATTAATAAACATAATTTGATTTTGATGGACGCATTAATGATGTGACGTCAGTTATTTATGCTAAAATTTTGCCAGTGTTGCAAGTATACACAAATAGCTATTAAATCAGGAAGATTATATCTATTTGACACTACAATGACGAGTGCTAATTTGTTATATTTAAACCTGTTTTAATAATACATTGAGCTCAGAAAAAGGCAAAATATATTTTTAAAGTTCCTTTATTTAAGGTTATATTTAATCATTAATGTAAACTTGCAATTATAAGTTTATATTAATTATTTTAATTTGGTTTATAATTAATGTAAACTAAAATAATAAATAATAATGTACATAATTACGGCCTTGCCAATTATCGATATATAATTAAAACCTGTCTATTGAATTTGTGTATATTACAAACAAATCATTGCTATATTATTAAAGTTGGTGACATTGGGTACAATTTCTCGAAATCTTTTTACTTTTTATGAGAACCATTTGTATGCATGCTCTTGGTTTTTAGTTCATAATATTGTATAGCAATTCTTATTTAAGTAAATGATATTTATTCTTTTGAGAAAATATAAAATATCTTAAATCTTATAGTAATTGAAATATAGTCGCCATAAAGTTTACTTACCCACATGTAAACCAGAAATCTCCGGTCGTAAACTGACATGTGTCCATAAACGGGTGTCGTATGCCATCATTCGCCACCTTTTGCATACTGTGGCCATACGACATATTTCTCTGTGCGTCAAGTACGAGAAAATATTTAATAAAACCTTATCCGGCAGTTTCTCTATCGTCTGTAAAAAAATATTTATTTAATATGTTAAAGCAGCTAGGTATTTTTTTATCGTTGAACAATTCACACATCGCCATTGCGAAACATTCATTGAATCGCAAAATCCAAAATGTGCGTTTTATAGGTTTAAATTTTACTCTAGTCACAAGTTAAGCAGAGCTTGTGTTATGGGCACTAAACATTATACTACACTGAACATACTGATATAAATATTAAGCTATTCTTTTTAGAATTATACACATAAAAATCACCAAATACAAACAATCACACGCATGAATTGTATTCACCGTTTTTTTTTACTCTAATGCTGTTGCTGGCCTTTTACAGCTTCAGCTGACGATAGGAAAACCCGCGGAAGAACTTATGGCCGAAGGCCAACTCCCGCCTGACAGATACGACTTTAGTCTAAGAGCACCGCTAGGGGTTCGAACTTCGGCTCAGGCCGTCATAATGTCGATCCTCGTTTGACGGGGATCGATCGGAGGGGGGTCACCGTTTGTATTCAGAAATGTTTGTACCGTTAGTGAGAGAACCTGTCACTGTGGGAAAAAGCGGTGTCCTAAAGCGCTACACCACCGAGGCCATTATAACAATGTCTTGTATATTTATATTAAATTATTTTTTGAAATGGTAAATTCCTACTGCGATCCTGTCCGCTTAGACACGGGTACCTATATTCTAAAATATTGTTTCAATGCGTAACATGTCAGTAGCGTTTTGTTATTATCAATAAGTAATCTTACTTTTTTTAAATAATCTTTACCTACTATTATTCTTTTTTCAAATAGAAGTTATCTATTAATATTTGTTATTTATAACCTTGTTTATTAAAGTTGGCATCATATATTCTACGGTCACTCAATCATAGTATTGTTAGTGTGTTATAAATAGCAAGTTTTATTTGCAAAGTACATAAATTGTAATGTTTATTACAATATTACCGTACTAGCGAACGGGCTTCTAACTCCACCTTCAGTCAAATAAACCTGGCTAGCTTCTAACGCCAACTGTCCCCAAACATCCGTCGGTATATCCATTATGATATTTTCACAAATTAACCACTTTTAGTGCAATCTTTTAAATGCAGTTTTCAGGTTACGACACATTCATAGCAAGTTTACTTCATACGCACGGAAAGTTCACAGAGGTAGAATGTAGAACGCTGTGTTTAAATTTGGAATCATCTGGGTGCGCCGTGGCTACAGATCGCAGAGGAAGTATTTTGGGATGTGTGTATGATTTTTTCCTTTTTTTGTGTAAATATTTAATATATACAAATTATTGTAAAAAAATTAACTAGTATTACATTAAAAATTACGTTCTAATTTGTAATATATAAAAAATGAACAGAATTCACAAAGCTTCGATGAAAGAAAATTAGCGGGAATTTTCAAATATCATGCAGAGTTGGACACGCTCTTTTGTTTTTTGAATTTTCATTATATATATCAGAAGGAGACTTGATACCAAGTATTAAATGCAGTTTACTCAACTACTTGAGTTGCCAAATAGTCACGCCGTGTTATGGTTTCATTTTAATATAACATACTGACACTGCTACTGATATTACTGTGTATTATGACTAAAGATTTTATGACACAATTATCCGCATCAATTTACATATCTAATATTGCAAAGATATATAAAAAGAGATGCTATCTTGCCACCAGGCAAACCGCAAGCTTGATCACAATATAGAAAAAAAATTCTTTCTTAATATTAAAATTAAAACATTGTAAAGAATATAATAAGAGCAATACATGATGACAGTTAAAAAGTTAAGTTATTTAAAAACAATAAAATGTACAATTATAGTATTTGGGATATTGCCAAATATATTTTCACTGTCGCAAAACATAAACAGTTTTGTTAATATCAATAAATTATTTCTGTATTATTTACCATAAGAAAGTAACTTTTTGTCGTTGCCTCCACAGAAAAAAGGCATTATGTCATATTATTGAGGAGAAAATTTCTTAGTGCCTACGAAATGAATGTAAACTGGAAATCTATAATAGAAAATTCTATTATAGAGATCTATCAATTCAGAGCTTTGAACTCTTGCTTCGACTTTCTAGTACCGTAAAAGTCTGGTAAGGTGAAAAAATATGGTACTGTTACTCGTAGGTACATACTTATTATGATTGCTTTTAGAACATAATCGTAATGAGACAACTAGTGTTATTTAAAGAATAGAAAAAATAGATTCCATAACTAATTATCACATAATTATATATTTATATCATAATACTACGAATGAAAGTACGTGATAAAGTACAATTCTTTAATATCCGATTAATATTTAATCAACATTAACATAGTCGATCACTTTAGAAAAACAAAAGAATATTACCAGTTAGTTTCAGAATGTTTAAAAAAAACAAAAAGGCCTGTACATGTAGTTAAAGTAGGTATTTAACTGAAAACCAGTGTCTGACTCCAATAACAAAGAATACACTTAGTTGTACCATATTATCTGTGGTTGTACCTTGTTTTAATCACTGTGGTCGTTATGTATGAAATTTTGTGTATGTTGTATTTGCTTCTTCTTTTCTTATATACTCTGCATTATTTATAATTTATTCTGCGTTGCAAAGTGTATGTGTGTGTGTATTTATTGATTAGAATAAAGTAAATTATAATCTATTACAATTACTTTCCACAATTTTCGTTTGAATCGTAGTGAAAGATTACGAATTCGTCGGTGTTAAACAGACATATAACTTGGCAAGCTGCAAGGTATTTCCTGATTGTGTGAGTCATATCGCAGACAATCGGTTCATTTGTATGAAACGATTCACTGTTTTATAATGTTTACGCCGTCTCGACATTTTAATTAGATTTTTGTATTGCACAGGTGTATAATTTTATTTTAAGATATTGCGTTCCAGACATTCCGAAATAGAATAAAATATACCTATCAACCTATAATTTCGATGACCTCATGTGTGTTTTATAAATTTCCTATGAATTCTATTATATACGATATATAATAATGGTAGATATGCCTGCGGTTTCATCCGTGTGAAAATTATAGCCTGTTTTATTCCGATGTATAAGCTATATTACTGTAAAATTTTATCAAAATCCGTTCAGTAGTTTTTGCAGTTTAACGGTAACAAATTAGGATGCCTGATAATGCAGTTATCCTAAAAAAATACTAGTACATACCTATATAAGTTGATAAAACTTGTATTTTGTACACAAACCAATTTTAATACAGATTTTGACAAATGCTTCAAATATCAGTTTTATTAAAAGGGAAAATTATCTTATTTTTGATACAACCGTAGCTGTGATTAAAGATTTTTAAATAAGCTTCGAGAGCGATAGCTACAAATTGTTAATATAGTTAAACGGATTTCAACACGAATAATTATTATAATGCATTAATTCATAAAATTATTCGCGTGAAAATTTACCTCATTTGACGTTTGGACTAGATTGAACTAGCCATGAATGAACTAAACATTAAAGAAAACAAATAAACCCTAATGTACCTACCTAATATATAAAATAATTAAAGTATGTATTTTTCGGTCGATTATCGTTAATCAATTCTTTGCTGGAAAAACACAAACAATTCCGTAAAATTGCGTATTATTGATTCTTTGGGTAATGTACAGGACATAAATATTTTTAATTAAATTTTAAATTCCATTGCCTATACATTTTTTATTACATAGCTTTACAATTTGAAGTCATTTATTCTTTTTATTTCATTCAATATATTTATGTAACAATATTTTATACTTTTACATTGTTTATCCGAATTTATATATAGGCGTTTTATCTGGTAAAAACCAATGCACAAAAACACTATTTGACTGAGCTAAGTTTGTATTACATTAGATTATACTAATAAATAGGTACATGTTCTTCTTTAAATATATAAAATAATGTTTTTGTTATGTAGAATTAACTGATCTAAATAAACTTCTGTCTGGACCTTTACTTTTATTTACCTACTACGATAAATAAATATAGGTACTATACATACCCACTACGATAAAATAATTTTCGGTCTACTCAAAATAAATACAAAATAATACTACGTGGTAATTAAATAAAATAACGTTAATATAAGTGTAGATTAAAATATTACAATGTTTTATATATATATATTAATTCCAACTCAGAATTATTAAAATAAGTAATTATTTACGGATCTTACTTAATATAACTTCAGTGTATTAGCAAAATACGTTAATATTAATATTTATTTTTTCTTACTATTCTCTAAAAATAATTACCATAGTTTTTTTTCGTCGAAAACTGGACATATCATCTCTAGATATAGCTGCTGCGGCTGTATCTACGTTTAAAATGCCCCAGGAATCCATGTTTAATTAATTAATTTACAGGCCACGATACAATTGTCTTATTTAACAATACACACACTTCTTAAACGTACAGATACCTATAATCTTTTACATAAACTATTTTATTCACTCACACAATTGGTGCGAAATTATTTTAACTCAAATGTTCACAGACTTAACTAAACCGACTTCATGTTATCCATTTGTCGAGCTATAGTACAAATGTGATTCAAATTGACTATAGCAATGTTGCGACACGCACTACCTATATGTTATCAGACATTTAAATTGGCAAACCAAAATAAGTGCGGCATTTTGCTTCAACTGGGCGCTACGAGACGATGTAGTTGCCAAGAAGATTCGTATTGCATTCGTGTCACAGTAACATTTATCATTAACTGACTTCGTAAAAGGAGGCGATATGAGGGGTGGATATTTTTTTAGCTGTTTATTAAAACTATCAAGTTCCAGAAAAAAAATCTTTTTTTATCTACATTCTGTGTGTGATAAGAGTTTATATCACTAAATGAAGATAAAAAACAAACAACCAATATACTAATAATGGGCAATGTTAAATAAACTTACCTCATATATAATTAATGCTTAAATATAGATTGCAAAAAGATCTATCCACATCTGTTTAGTTTTTGCTACTATGTAGAATAAACTACATACAAATAAAAAAAATATATATCAATTCGAAAGGCTCGAGGATTTTATATTGTTTTCAAAATAGTAATGAATAAAATATTTCCACCTATTTTTGCAAGAAATTATACCCCCCACTCCATATTTAAATTTATAATAACTTTAATTTAAATTTATGTTACACAATACCATCCTGATCATCTGGATGAATGGCGGTCTTCCACCGTGCGGTTTTCTAGAAACTTTTTGCCTCGCACAACCACATTATGGAATCACCTTCCAGCAATGGTATTTCCGAACCGATACGATATTGAAACCTTCAAGAAAAGAGCTTATTCCTTTTTAAAACCCGACAACGTACTTGCAATTCCCCTGGTGTTGCGGGTGCTCATGGGCGGCGGTAATCACTTACCATCAGGTGAGCCGCATGCTCGTTTGTCCCCTGTGTTATAAAAAAAAAACACAAATTTATATATATAAGATATACCTATTCTAGTTGAGAAGGGATATTTCATTGCCAATTGGCAACACTAAAAACATCGAAGATAGTTTGAATGACAGGATGTCATTTTTTCTGTCAATTAAATTGTCGAAATGAAAATAAGTCTTATTCGCATAGTGAGCAAAACCAAACAAACTAACACAGTCAATTTAAATTCTTCATATTGTATTGTTGTCTTCTGCGCAGCACTTTATTTTTCCAAAAAATACGTATAGAAAATATCTTGAATTCGTAATAAAAAGAAGATTAAATGCAAACAATGTTGCTATCACAATAATGTTCGTATCGTAGAGGTAAATTATAGAAAAGCGAATCTGTTACAGACGCACTCAATCTCAGTGTAGATTAGTTCGTCTGGACATCATCTTTTATCTAAAAATCGAAACCTGCTAACGTCTCCGGTTTGCTGATTGTGATTATTACCGATTTAGTTCAGCGTGCGGTGTGAATCTTGTCGGTCGCCAGCTTTAAAAAATGGAACATTAATTATTTGCTACATCTAAAGAATACACGAACTTACAATAATACTGGCCAGTGAATAGTGATAAACTTTGAATACTACGAAAAAAAAACATTACAAAATGAGCACTGCAGGCGGCTCTGTTTTGGCGGGCTTTGTCCCCGAATATTTTTTCAACATTGTCGAAGAGCTCGATGAACATCCATGGTTATTTGCGGCTCTTGCGTCTGTGCTGGTGGGTCTTAGTGGAATCTTGCCACTTCTCATCATCCCAATTGATGAGACGGCTACTTTCAAGGACGGATGTAAGTATTTCTTTGTCTTTGTTGTGTTTGTCCGTCATATTTTACGAAGCGCGTTTGTGACTTGGTACTAATTTTAGATTTTACATGTCATCATTTGAATACAGAATGCCAAAACAAAGACGCGGTTTTGTTTTTTAATGTCAATATGAATGAATGAATACCTGTTTAGATACAATACACAATAATCAAAAGCACATATTAATACTTAGTAAAACTTTATTAATTTATTTTAATAAATTATCAATTTTATGTGCATTGTTACAAATTTCTATAACTAATAATATTTAGAAGCAACACACCTACATTATTTACCTGAACAACAGTCCTTTGGGTAATTGATTGATATACAAAGTATAGAAAACATTGTGATATCCTAACAAAATAGAAATATATATAAAAATAATATAAAAAAATATATATATAATAGTAATATAAAAATAATTGTCTAAAAATAAAAATAAGTGTCTGTTATTAATGTTATACTGTAACATGTTGCCACTTATGTTCTATTGTTTGTTGAGGAAATAAATTAATGTCACAACTTTAAGTTATTGATGTATAAGTTGAAGTGCTATAAATCAAGAACATTATATTCACATCTAATTATAAAATGACAACCTTGGTGGTCTAGCAGTTTAGCACTCCTCTTTATGTTCAATGGTTGCAGGTTTGATACCTCGCACAGCACAAACATTTGTATTCATGAGTGTGATTGTTTGTATCGGTCTGGGTGTTTTCTCAATATAATATGTATGTATTTACGAAAAAAATCTATATACTTGTAACAGTTATCTAGTACCCATAACACAAGATTTAGCTAACTTAACTAATCATTACATAGTATAAAACAAAGTCGCTGTCTGTCCGTCCCTATGTATGCTTGAATCTTTAAAACTTCACAACACATTTTGAATTGTTTTTTTAATAAATAGAGTGATTCAAGAGGAAGGTTTATATATTTGTAATATATGTAGACCTGTGTGAAGCGGGGTAGTAAGTAGTTTAGGATGCATGAAATGCATTCTATATCACTTTATAACTTACTGCTTATTCTTCTCCCATTTCTAAGGCATTCATTAAACATAAATATTAATGTACTAGAATCATCAATTGTTGAATATCTTAGATTTTTTTTTGTTCCTACATTCACAAAGAAAGATTTCTTGAAATAGAAATGAATGGTTAATGGTTTCCCTGCGGAATAAAATATGGTGATAATACAGTTAGAAGTATCAGATACTGTATTTATATTGTACTAGCTGTACCAGCGACTTCGTCTGCATGAAATATAACTTTGTCTCTAAAATAAAAGTTGCTTAAGTTACTCCTTACTACATCAGCTACCTGCCATTAAAAGTCTTGTTAAAATCGTTTCAGCCATTTCAGAGATTAGCTGGAACAAACAGACAGACAGACAAAAAATGTAAAAAATGTTATTTTGGTGTATGCACCATATTTATATTCATATGCATATAGTAAAAAACGGATATTTTAATATTACAAACAGTCACTCCAATTTTTTTATATGTATATATATATTTAATTATGCAGTGACCAAGCAGGAGTTTCCATTCATCCGGTCCTTAAGTCCTTTCGCAGATGTATACTGACATATGTGCACACCCCCTAGCAGTTGATGAGCTGTGGCCAATAACATTAGAATAGTTAAAAACAAAGTACCATAGATTTCACTTATCAAGTGTTTTTACATATTCTAATAGTTCATCACTGTCAGATATCTGAGGTGATATAAGGAGTTCTACAAATAAAAGAAACTTTGTAACAATGTTGCTTATCATATATTGCTGTCACACAAATAGGATTACAATCGTGTTGTAGCAAGGGATATCTAATCTATTTATCTTAAATACATCAATGTTACTATACAATACACAGATTAGGTAGTTGATAATGTATAAATAATTCCACATATTTAAATGTCCATTGACATTGTCTTCGTAGGCGATCCATATTAATATTATAAAAGGGAAAGTGTGTGTTTGTCTGTCATTTATGTTTTCACTGTAAGGCTAAATGGTTGTATGGTTCTTAATGAAATTTTCTATAATAGATTATATCACAAGAAAGCTGTAATCAGATTAGTTAATAAGGAAACCATATATACTTTGTGATATATGTTGTAATAGAAAAATAAAATAAAATAAACTTAGTAACAACAAGTTTGAAATGAAGTAATAATAAATACACATTTATGTTAGGATATTATGCTATTCAAAACTGCATAATATTGTGTATTTATAAAGACTATAATGTATCCATCTGTTTCTAAATTTTATAATGTCCTGTGTAACTAAGGACTAATGTGCTGTGATGAATTTCCTTATTATTAAATTGAAACCGATTATGTAAAGATGAATATTTCAAACTTCTATTCTAATGCTGTTGGCCGCAGATGGCCTTTACAACTTCACCGGTCTAGGGGACGAGTGTAGATGGCACTCCAAACCGGTGGAAGGGCTTATGAAGCGGCGAAGTCCTGGTCCCGCCTGACGGATACGAAATGCAATATAGGGAATAACAATATTAATACAACTTACTGCACCCGTTCATCAGCAGACAGGTGAGCTACGACTTTAGTCTGATGGCACCGCTAGGGGTTCGAACCTCGGCTCAAGTCGTCGTAATTTCGATCCCCGTTTGAACTGGATGGGGCATCGATCGGAGAGTCAATAAACCTACTTTTTCTGGAGCGGTAAAAGAAAAAGTAGGTTTATTGACTCTATTGATATGAGACTGATGTTCTGCCCCACAAACCAATTAAAGCAATTATTATTTAAAAATAGTTATTAATCATCATGTAATTGTGGCTCTTATCATACATATACAATTGTAGACTTACATATACGTACATGAATCATCAAAAAAAAAATTATACTCTGTGCTAATATAATAAATACGAAAGGGTATCTGTTTGTTACCTTTTCACAACTAAACGACAACTAGCATTGTACAGATTGTACAGATATATATATATATATATAATCTATAATAAATACTTATTTATGTATATCTTTGTAAACATTTCCATTGAATTATTTTTTTAAATGCAAATGTTAATATCGATGAACCGAAATTGTGCGAAATTGATCTCTGAAACTCTAAAATTTACACCACAAATAGCTGATATCGATATTGTAAATTCTATTTATATTGGTTTTTTTCTTTTGTATTATAATTGCGCAACACTGCCTACTTCTTTGTTTAAATATTATGATACTTAACTAAAATTATTACATACACACAGCACATGTGTTATACAGTTAAACCTACCTCCTGAATCACTCTTTATCTATTGCTAAAAGCTGTATTAAAATCCGTTGCGTAGTTTAAGAGATTTAAGCGAGCAGACTGCGGAAGCGACATCATTTTATAATATACACAATGACATTTCTTGTCCCGTTTCTTAGTTTTTCCTGTAATTGAAAAAAACCTGTTTACAGACTGTTGTCATTTCGTATTGCTAGGAGGAAAACATTCATTAATCATATTAATGAGAAATGTTATACATTATAAAATTGTAGTTTTATAAAAAAATACGCAAGCAATATTTACATAACAATACTAGCTGACTCGGCAAACGTTGTTTTGCCTTATAATTTAAATTCAGTATTAAAAAATAGGGGTTGGTGTTGAGTGAAAATTAAGGGTAAGGGTAGTATATATTTTTCAATGCTAAATCATAATAAAATAAAAAAAAATTAACGAATACTTAGGGGTATAAAAAGTAGTTATATACCTATTCTCAGACCGACTGAATATAAGTACTTACATACAAAAAAAATCTAAATAGATTTTATGTATACATAAAATACATAATATCTGTTTAGATTATGATGAAATTTTAATATCCTTACTCGATAAATGGGCAATATTAAATGTTTATTAAATTAGAACCATTATATCCTGAGATTAGCGTTTTTAACTAAACAAACAGAATAGTCTCTTCATCTTTATATATATTGGTATAGATTATGACAAACGTATATACTTTTATACAAGAACATCCAATTCTAATCGCAACAATACATACATAAATGTATGTATTGGCAGGATTGTTCATGCAATGCAATAGTCGCATGGTTTCGTCATTTAGTTCAATTAAAATGAATCATTCTTTAAAGTTGATGAATAAATGTGCCGGTTAGATAGCAGAATAGTTGAATTCATAGCAAAACCTTGTGAACATTTATTGAGGAACATTGAGGTTTTTGAATTAATATCATGCACACGCCTCCACTAACGATGTACAAATCAAACTAAAATATTTTTTATTCATGTAGGTCAATGACAGACTCTTGAGATGTGTCAAATCTACCGTCATTTCAGTGTGCTACGAGCTGAGAAGAACTGACAAGAAACTCAGCTCGTATTCTTTGCAAATATTGTTTCCAATAATATAGATTCATTTTTTAATTCAAATTTGGGAGAATAGAGTTACCACCTGCATATGCTATTGCAATTTTGTCAAAAGCAAATAGTCTAATCAGTGTTCGTAACCAGAACAGACCAGTCCCCGTTCACGAGTATCACGGATGTTGATGTATACGCTGGCGGGGTATCAATGTAGAACCGTAGAATGATAAGATGAAATTTGGTCTAAAAGTCCGTCATGGTAAGTTTTCCAGGTATTAACCAGGATAATTTCTTGTACAGCGTAGAGTGACATGGTACAATGTTAGTACAAGTTACCATTGCTAATAATACCATTCCATAATATTATAAATAGGCTAGTGTGTCCGTCACATTGTTTACCTTTTCACGACTAAACGGTTGCAAGTATCTTAAATTTCATTAATTTAGAAAATATCGTTGTACTCGTTTTCACTCAGCAGAGTTCGTTAGTATGTATATTTTTTATATGCTTGGATTCTCTTTTGTCTATGCAGTTCTTTGTAGGAATTAATGAATATAGTAAAATAATGTGTATAGACAAGTTCACAATATGTCAACAGCGAAATTCACGAACAATAGAAGACACC